AGCAGGTAATGCAAGACTGCGAACAGCAGCTTCAGCGAGTGGACTCGACGCTGGGGCGCGGAGGCAGGCATCACCAGAATCTTCATTGAGCCTGTGCGGGCCCTCTTGGCCAAACCGGTGTCGACATCTTGAACATCGGAACATCGCACACGGGCTCGCACGATTTTTGCTGGAGGAATGTGGAGTCAGGAACGCCTCTTCGCCAAGGGGCCGCTTCTAGCAACAAGTGCGCCGCTTGCAGCGGCGAGGGATCGGACAAACATCGATTTCTCTGTTGTCCAGCGCGACACAGCACGCGACAACACGCAGGACACCCTGAAGCGCAGCAGCTAGGGGCCACCAGTGCACCCACAGTTGCAAACGAATTCCGCTGGGGTCGAGGCATCGTGCAGGACCCCAGCTCCGCGCTCCCTGGCATAGGGATCTCGGACCGAGCCACGGTTATAGGCACAGCCCCAGGCCTTCTCACGGGCGACGTCTACGTAGATGGCTCGCATATGCACGGCAGGCACGGCCCCATCAGACGAGCGAGGTGGTGCTATCCATAAGTCACGGACAGCGGGGAACAAATCTTCGCTATGCATGGGCCGCTGCCGCGGCCGCAAGCTGAGCAGTCAATCTTCCGTGCGGAGCTGCACGCAGTTTGCATTGCTCTGCAGGCTGGAATGGTGCCGCTCACGATTTTGTCAGACTGCAAAAAATGGTTTAGACGGTTTCGCACGCGGGAAAGAATGGTGCACTCGCTGTTCAAACCCGCTCGCTAGCCAATGGAGATGGGCCTGGCACTTATTAGATGAGCGAGGCGGTTTAGGCCCACAGATGGTTCAGATAGGGAAAAGTAAGACCCATGCCACAGTAGTAGAGCGTCGTGCGCTAGGCACGAAACACTTCCAGGGAAACAAGGCCGCCGATCGGGGAGCCAAGCTAGGAGCAACCTGTTTAGTATATCCCGAATGGCACGTCGAGGAAAATCTGCGCGAGTTTAAATAAGCCCAGAACATCTTGCAATGTAATGCCAAAGTTCGAGCACTGTCGCCTGATGTAGTAGATACTGTAAAAGACGGGCCGCTGAAGGCCTCGAGTGCTAGTGGGACGGGTACTGGGGTCGTGGAGCGTCATGGGGGGGGTCGGGGAAGCGGACGGGGCCTCCGAGGAGGCCGGACGCTCCCTGGCCAGGCCTGGAGGACCTCCAGAGGGAACGGGCCCAGACGAGGCCCGCCGAGCCGAGCTGGCGCGAAGAAATCGCCACAAGCTTGTGACTCGGCCAGGCTATGCTTTCTGCCGAGTATGCGCCTGCTACGCTCAGAAGCGATGGCAGAGCCTCAGCTACAGCGACACCCCTCAATCAGATCGGCGGGGTCCGGGTCCAAAAACACATCGGGTTTGCCACATTTCTGAAATTCGGTGGCCCCCACGCAGATCCACGGGGCCAGGGTCCAAAAACACAGCGGGTTTGCAACATTTTTGAAATTCGGTGGCGCCCCTCACGCAGATCGGTGGGGTCAGGGTCCAAAAACACAAGAGATTTGCCACATATTTAAAATTTCCTGACACCCCTCAAGCAGATCGGCGAGGTCAGGGTCCAAAAACACAAAGGGATTTGCCACATGTTAAAATTTCCTGAAACCCCTCACGCAGATCGGCGGGGTCAGGGTCCAAAAACACAAAGGGATTTGCCACATGTTAAAATTTCCTGACACCCCTCACGCAGATCGGCGGGGTCAAGGTCCAAAAACACAAAGAATTTGCTACATTTCTGAAATTCGGCGGCACCCCTCACGCAGATCCCGTCGCCCGAATCGAACCGGAGCGCTCCCAGGGCGGCCCGACGAGCACTCCGTGCGAGCTGGCACGAGCGGGCCGCCCGAAATTGGGCCGGGACGTACCGGAGCCCAAAACCAAATTAAATCATAAACAAGATGTGTATCGGGAGCCGTTTTTGTGGAGCCACCGACATGTTGCCGGGTCGGCCAGAATCTGCCAGATTTGCCCAAATCGAGCGCGGCGTCGGCAGGCCCGAAATCCAAGCCCAGGCGCTCCCGCGCGCTCCCAGGCGCGCCCAAGCGCTCAGTGCGAGCCGGAGCGCCCCTGGAGCGGCCCGACGAGCGCTCCGTGCGAGCTGGCGCGAGCGGGCCGCCCGAAATTGAGCCGGGGACGTGCCAGAGCCCAAAATCAAATCAAATAACAAAAAAACTGTGTATCGGGAGCCGTTTTTGTGGAGCCACCGACATGTTGCCGGGTCGGCCAGAATCTACCAGATTTGCAACAATCGAGCGCGGCGTCGGCAGGCCCGAAATCCAAGCCCAGGCGCTCCCGCGCGCTCCCAGGCGCGCCCAAGCGCTCAGTGCGAGCCGGAGCGCCCCTGGAGCGGCCCGACGAGCACTCCGTGCGAGCTGGCACGAGCGGGCCGCCCGAAATTGGGCCGAGGACGTACCGGAGCCCAAAACCAAATTAAATCATAAACAAGATGTGTATTGGGAGCCGTTTTTGAGGAGCCATTGACATTTTGCCGGGTCGGCCAGAATCTGCCAGATATGCCAGACTCGAGCGCGGCGTCGGCAAACCCGAAATCCAAGACCAGGCGCTCCCAGGCGCTCCCAGGCGCTCCGTGCGAGCCGGTTCGCCCCTGGAGCGGCCCGACGAGCACTCCGTGCGAGCTGGCACGAGCGGGCCGCTCGAAATTGGGCCGGGACGTACCGGAGCCCAAAACCAAATTAAATCATAAACAAGATGTGTATCGGGAGCCGTTTTTGTGGAGCCACTGACATGTTGCCGGGTCGGCCAGAATCTACCAGATTTGCCCAAATCGAGCGCGGCGTCGGCAGGCCCGAAATCCAAGCCCAGGCGATCCCGCACGCTCCCAGGCGCGCCCAAGCGCTCCGTGCGAGCCGGAGCGCCCCTGGAGCGGCCCGACGAGCACTCCGTGGGGGCCTGCACGAACGGGGGCGCTTCCGGAGCGGCCCGGCAAGCATTCCGTGCGAGCCGGCACGAGCGGGGGCGCTTCCGCAGCGGCCCGACAAGGCGCTCCAAGGATTTGCTACATTTCTGAAATTCGGTGGCACCCCTCACGCAGATCGGCGGGGTCAGGATCCAAAAACACATGGGATTTGTAACATTTCTGAAATTTCGTGGCACCCCTCATGCAGATCCGTCGGGTCAGGGTCCAAAAACACAAGGGACTTGCCAGATTTCTGACATTCGGCGGCACCCCTCACGCAGATCGGCAGGGTCAGGGTCGAAAAACAAATAGGTCCCGACACTCATTCACGGCAAAGCCAAAGCCTCATGACTTCGCTCTTCCATGGCCCATTCTCTGAGAGAGGGGGCCGGCGGCACGGGGCAAAGCATATATATGTGTGTGTGTGTGTCTGCATACATGCATACATACATACATATATATATATATATATATATATACATACATACATACATACATACATACATACATACACGCATACTTACATACGCAAATACATAATATTGCAATGCCTATGCACACAACATTGCAATACAACGCAGTTCATTATACTACATTACATTACATGGCACTACACTACATTGCATTACGTTACATTCCATTACCGTACACCGTAGTGCATACAATCAAACATACGCGCAAACATGCACGTTGCTTTACACATGTACATACTTGCATGTACACACACACACATGCATGCACGCCTGCATGTATGCATACATACATGCATACATACATGCAAACATACCTACATGTATACCTGCCTATATACAAAACTACACGCAGACATGCATACATGTATACATACATGTATGCATACATACAGAGATGCATACAGCAAACCAACACACATAGCTAGGGATCTGCATACATACATACATGCATACATATACACAGATATAATCATACGCATACATACATCACACGACCTTACATTTCACTGCATTACATACACACATGAATACACACATGCATACATAAATACATAGATACTTTAATACATACACACATACACACATAGATACTGACAGACACACACTGTATACTCACGTCTATAGATGCATACTTGTATGCATTCAAACATGCATGATTGCACGCACAGATACATAGGTTCATGCATGCATGCAGGTATGCGAATATACCTGAAGTCATGCATGCATGCATTGGTGCATGCATACATACATGACTACATACACGTTTACGTTCATACCTACAAGAATACAACCATACATAGGTACAAACAAGCATACAGACTTACATGTACACATGGATGCATACATGCATACATGCACACATACTCACATACCATTATACACACATACATGCATGCATACATGCATGCATATACATATAATAACATACATAAATACAGACAGACATACATACACACAGCCTAACATCTAGACATACGTACATGCACGCATACATACATTCACGCATGTACGCCGTCATACATGTGCCAATGCATAGATACATACATAAATGCCGTCACACATACGTGCATACCTACATACATATATATATATATATACAGGGGCATACGTACATACATGCTTACATGTACACACAAACATACATGCATGCATACAAACACACATACGTACATGCATGTATACATGCATGCATGCGGGCATACATAAGTACATGCATACATACATATATACATACATACATACATATAGACATACAGACATACATGCATACGTGCACACATACGTACATACATACAGGCATACACACATAGACTCAGACATGCATACATACAAACATACATACACGCATGCACACAGACATACATGCATACATGCATACATACATACATATAGACATACATGCATGCATACATACATACATACATACATACAGACAGACAGACAGACAGACAGACAGACAAACGTGCATGCATGCATGCATGCATGCATGCATACATACATACATACGTACATACGTACGTCGCGCTCGACGCGGAGTCCGCGACGGGCGCCGCGTCGAGCGCGGGGGGCGGGCTGCCCGCCCCCCGCGCTGTCCTTCTTGCCCTCGACCATGGTCAGGTATACCTTCCCGTCGCCGCGCAGGCCGCTGATCCAGACCTTGACCTCCTGGCCATCCTCTTGGCGACGCGCCCCGGAGGGAAGGCAGAGGGGGCGGAGCTTCCCACAGGGCTCAGAAGGCCGAGAAGCTCTCCGAGCCCTCTCCGAAGGCACAGGACGGCCTATCAGGATGCGCGAGGGATTCCGAGAAGCCCCGCCGCCTACTGACAAGGCCTGCCCTCCCTCACGCCCCCAGGGCGCGCCGCCAATCCTTGAGCACCGAGTGGATGTCCTCGATCCTGTCCGTGGAGATTGCGGATTTGTGCAGCAGCCCGTCGCTCGTGGCCCCGATGTCCACGAAGGCGCCGAAGTCCTGCACGGAGCGCACGGTCCCCTGGAACTCCTGGCCGACCTCGAGCCAACCGAACTGGATGCGAGGGGTGTCCTCCCGGGTGTTCGCCAACGGTGCGTGTGGCGGGGGAGCAATACACGTGGGGTGAAGACACACCTCTCGTGCACCTGTTGGGCCCGCGAGTGGTAGTTTCGGGGCCACTTGGGGAAACCAAAAGGTACCAACACCGCCAAATTCCCTGACTTCTCCTGGGGTGCGCCCTGACCAGAATCGCGACGCGAATCCAGCGGTGGAGACGAGGTTCTCTCAGGAGGCCCCAAAAAAGGCAAAGACGAGGCAAGAGGAGGCCCAAAAAGGCCAACACCAAAAAAGACGCGAGGTTTTTCACCGTTGTCGGCCTCTGGGAGTCTTGACCAGGCCCCGCGACCGTCGAAAAACAGGTCCCACGGACACGGTCGGAATTTCCTTGGATCCCAGATTGAATTACCCAGACGGTGTACCCAACCGTTGCGCAACGCATGGCCAAACTAGCTGGGTAGACATTATAGGGGGTGGTAACGTGGCAGGGAAGAATTTCTTTTGGAAACGGCTTCTGGGAGGCTCGCGGGGCGCGCGATTCGCAGGACACCGCCCAATGGACAAGGGTTTTGATGAAGCTGGTTGATTAAAAGCAGGAAAGGAGGTCCTCCTCCTCCTCCTCCTCCTCCTCCTCCTCCTCCTCCGCCTCGTCCTCCTCCGCCTCGTCCTCCTCCTCCTCCTCCTCCTCCTCCTCCTCCTCCTCCTCCTCCTCCTCCTCCTCCTCCGCATCCAAATCCAAATCCAAATCCAAATCCAAATCCAAATCCAAATCCTCCTCCTCCTCCTCCTCCTCCTCCTCCTCCTCCTCCTCCGCCGCCTCATCCTCCTCCTCCTTTTGCAGTGGTTCTCTCTTGGCTCCCACCAATCCATGATCGAAGGGGCTGCAAACCACCGCCCGCAGGTGGACCGAACCTCCGCCCGACCTCGGACCGAGGGGGGCAAAACAAACAAAATCTACTCATACTAGCCTGGCCCACCACTCCGCCTCCTGAAGCGCGACAGTGGCCAGGACGCGGAGACTTGGCCCCCTGCAGGTATGCAGCGTCACCTGGGACATCGCTCCGCACAATCCGCCAGGCCGTGCCCCCCTCAACGCGAGGGGAAACCACCAAAGCCGCTCCCTGGGGGCCGAGGTATGCGGCGTCACCTGGGACGGCACAGCCCGTGCTATCCTCCAGGCCGTGCCCCCCGCCACACGCGGGGAGACCACCGAAGCCACTTCCTCAGAGCAAAGCTAGGTGGGCCCGCACCTGGTGCCTCCAGGAGGTCTGGTCCACCATCTCCTTTGCGTGCTGCCAAGCGCCGTCGCCTTTCAGCTCACGCTCACCAGCGCTCGCCTTCTCGAGCCAAGTTCGGGAAATGCGGGCCCGCGCAGCCCACCACTCGCTCTGCTTGACCCTGTCGTGCACCACAAGGCCGACGGGATCATTGAACCCGCAAAAATGACGGCCGCGACGCCCTCTCGCGAACCGAAAACGGCCAGTTCCTTAGTCGACGCGTCAGGGTAGGAGGTCTGCCCACCTCCGACTGCTCCAGGAGTCGGGCCGGGCGAAAGGGGGGGATAGCAAAGAGGGGGGGGGGGGGGGGAGAATCAGCTCACGCAGCTGACTTTCTCGGCGCCGGGAGGCGCCCACGCATCGAGGCATGGGCCTGGCGGCGGGGCCGAAACCGGCTGCCGTGCAGCAGATTTCGTACCCCCCCCCGTTCCCTATCCCCCCCTTCCGTCCGGCCCGAAGGAGGCGGAGCTGGAGCCCGGCCCGCGCGAGGAGCTCGAGAGGGCGCAGCGCCCGGGGGGCCTCGCGAGGCCCACCCTGCGGCCACCCCGCACGGCTTCGGGGGCGGCGCCCGGGGACCCGCGTGCGCCCACGCGCCCACCTGGCGGCCCGACCGCGCGGGCCTGCCCCAAAGGGAGGGGGAGGAGGAGGAGGAGGAGGAGGAGGAGGAGGAGGAGGAGGAGGGGCGTGGAGGAGCAGGAAGCCGCCTGACAAGAGTTCTGAGACTGCTGCGACATGCTGCTCGGGAGCGACCAGAAGGGGGGCGTCCAAGAGGGGGGGGGTGCAAATCATGACTGGCAGCATGTGCGCGGCCCAGCGGGGGGGCCAGGGACGTAATGAAATAAGAAGGGGAGCCATGCAATCTGGGGAGATATCATGGCCCCCGCCATGACATCCCCCCCTAGTCATCACCCCCCTCTTTGCCACCCCCGAGCTACGTGTCATGGTGGCGCGGCCGGAGACTTGGGGCACGACTCTCCTCGCCTCCTTCGCGGGCGTGCTCGAGCTGCGCGAGCGGCTGGCGATCCCGGGCACCATGGAGCAGGTCATCTGGGTCGGAGGCAATTCCACCCTCCAGGTTGCGGGCCAGGTCGACTGGGGGGCGAAGCTGTACGCGCGCCAGGAGCTGGAGGGCTACATGGAGGCTCTGAAGGAGGCGGCAGGCCTACCAGCGGAGTGGGTGATTATCGCGCTGGGAGAGCTGTTCTGCGCGGTTGGCTTCGCGGTTGCCCGCGGACGAGCGCGGCAGGGGCGTTTGGTCATCTGCATCGGCTGCCCAGAGATGGATCGAGGGCCGAACGCAGGAGAACCGCAGGGCGCGCCACCTGGCGAGGCTCCTGAACCACGTGGAGGCCGAGCGCCACCGCCGAGTCCTGGCTGCACCGCACACCTGGACGTAGAGCCGCGAGATGGCAGACATGCTCACCCGGGCGACCGAGGAGGAGGTCAGTCGGCGCATGCAGCAAGGAGGCTTCCAAATGATCGACCCAGCGGGCAGAAGGAGGCGCTCTCGCTGAGCTGCGGGAGGCGGGCGCACGCGGCAGCCTTGGTGGACCCGGCCGACTGGCAGGTGGCCATGCAGCCCATGGCCCGCCAGGCGCAAGGAGAGGTCCCACGTCCATTGCCGCAGAAGGCTTGGTTGGTGGTGGAGCTGCAGAGTACCCTGGCACCGTGGGCGCGCGCCGCCGGCGCCTCGGGTGCCCGCGGGGAGGCGGACCCCCACTGACTGGGCTGGCCCCCGCTGGAGCACGAACCCCCAGCGCGCGGGAAGTACTCGGCCCTGGGAGCGACGTCGCTGGGCCCCTCCAAGATCGACGGCCACCCGCTTGAGTTCGCGGAGGAGCTGAGGAGGAGGACGGCGCAGCGGGCCACCGCCTGGCTCCACGAGGATACCCGGCGGAGGCTGGCGAGTCCTCAGCCAGCACCGCTGCCCATTGCTGCGCGCCCTCCCACCGTGGTCGGAGCCGCGGCGGGGACTTCACGCGCAGAGCCCGCGGGCCCTCCGAGTGGCGCGGGCCCGCGGGCCGCCGACGGCGCGAGGCAGGGAGAGCGCGCCCTTTGCTGGAGGGGCAGCGCGGGCAGGGCTGCAGGTGACAGGAGGGGCAGCGCGTCGGCGTGGGCGGGGTCGGGAGCAGCTCGAGGAGCACCCCACGACCCTTCCCCCCGAGCCGGCGGCAGCCGCGCGACCGCCCCAGGAGGAAGGGGCCAGGAGCAGGCCACGGTGAGGGAGGTGCTGCCAGCGCGGGACACGCACGGCGGCACGCTGGACGACGCTCGGCGGGGGGGAGGACCTGGACGAGGCAGCGGACAGGCACCCACGCGGCCGAGGCCGGCCGTCGGAGGCGCGGCCCGCTGGCCTGGCTGGCCCACGGGGGCCCCGGGCGGACGGGCAGGACGCTCCCCGAGGCGCTCCTCGAGGGCCCGTGCCCAGATGGGCTGGCGAGGGGCCAGGTGAGGGACCCTGCCGAGCGCTGGGTGCGCACGACACGGAGGAGGAGGAGGAGGAGGAGGAGGAGGAGGAGGAGGAGAGGAGGAGGAGGAGGAGGAGGAGGAGGAGGAGGAGGAGGAGGAGGAGGACCATGCGCGGCGGTCCCCTGGGGGGCGGCGTGGGGCTGCCGCAGGACGTGCCGGCACGCAGGCGGTCAGGAGCACGGGCCCTGCTGCCCGGGGCAGCCGCAGCGCCCACCCCCGGAGTGGAGGGGCGCCGCCCCGTCGGAGCGAGGGGGAAGTTCGCGGGACGGGGCCCCCCTCCCGCGGGGCGGGCTCCCCAGACCCCCTCGAGTAATGAAAAAATCACGACGGGAGGTTTTTCACAATTTTTTGCCTCGGAACCGCCAAAAAACGACTCAGGACGAAAAGCCGGTCCCAGGGAATGGGTCGAGACCTCGGGGGGTCGACGTCATGGAAAAAATCACGACGTCGGGGGTCTGGGTCCGCGGTGGAGAGAACCGCGCAGGCGGCTTGGACCACGAGGAGACCTGGGGCGAGTGCACGGCGGAGGGTCGCCGCGGGCGTGCGCGGGAGGCGGGCGCCCCCCAGGCGATCGAGGCGCTGGCGGCCACGAGCGCGCTCGGGCACCTCGCCGTGCGGCCGCGGCGCGAGGAGCGCGGCTTGGAGGGCGACGATCGCGACGTCCGCTGCGCCACGTGCGGGCGCGACCACGCGACGACGGCGGCCGCGGCAGCTGCCGCCCCGCCGCCCACGCCTGCAGCCGAGCGACGGCCCTGCAAGACGGCGGGCTGTCCGTGCCCCGAGCACGCCCAGCCAGAGCTGATGTGGAAGGTGGGCAAGTGCGCAGGGAAGGACTGCGGTGAAGCGCGGGCGGTGGGCGGGGTCGAGCATGGCGCCCACTGCGAGAAGGAGCACCAGTCAAGATCGAGGCGCCAGCAGCCCAGGACAAAAGGAGCAGCAACGCGGAGGAAGCCACAGAGGCGGGTGCCTGGCCCGCCTCGGAGGTCCAGGGGCACCGGCCTCGGCCGAGCGCAGCCCGCGGCCCGCCAGCGCCGCCAGGGGACTCGAGCTCCCCGGCGGGCCGTGCCCGCCGCTGCCCCAGCCCAAGGTGCGAGCGGCGCCCCAGGGCCGTGAGCCGCTGCTCCACTGGGGCCTTCGGTGGAGCTCCCTATGGGGCCACGAAGCGCTGCCCTGGGTGGGGGAACCGCATGCGGGCACACCCACTGGGGCCTTCGGTGGAGCTCCCTCTGGGGCCACGAAGCGCTGCCCTGGGTGGGGGAACCGCATGCG